GCTGACATTAGGAATTGTGTGGGTGATACATGCATGAAAAAGTTCAGTTGCTAAGGGGAAACATATTTTCATACTTGGGACAAGGTCTCATTGGAATTACTTCTACCACAGACTAGAAGGAAAAGTGAGTAAAGCAGATGAAGACAGGAAGTGTCCTATTTTTATGGTGCTTGATAGTGTCAACTAATGGACTCCTTAGCAAAACTGGTAACGCTATGTAAAGATAACCCTCAAGTTAGGTTCAGAAACTCTGGAAGCTACAAAACATAGTACTAGCAAATAATTATTTCTGTCCTATCTGAAGGAATGTACATATGTGACACTATGATGAGGGTAACTCTGTTGAAGGGCATAGTGTATGTTTTTATCTCAGGCTGAAATGTTTTGTGTTTTATGACTGGCAGTAAAATCTGAGAAACACGGTCTTCAAAATGGCCATCTACAATTGAAAGTGAATAAAAGAATAAATGAATGCAAACTTTTGGTAAGAAGCGACAGCAAAACTGGACATTGAGAATTTCCGGTCACAGGTTTATATTAACAGTCACATTTGGGATTGAAGTAGTTAAGTTCTGAACCATCCATTAACAAGAATAGACTGCCTTGCCTTTAGGTAATTACTGATGCTGGCCATTAGAGTAGAGTATAATAAAAGTCCAAATCTCCATGTGTACACACGCAGTTTATTTGGAAGATCTCACTTGGCAGAAACATCACTTTTATAGCAGTTTGTTGGACCCGTTACAGTGTTGCTATTTGTTTTGAAAACATAGAGATGATGAAGGAGGCTGTGACAAGGGTCCTGGGTACATTAATTTTGGACAACTTTCATGGGATCTTCACAAAGTGGCTGGAGTGCGGCAGCAAGTGCATTGAAGTCAGAAGATCCTATTTTGAAGGTTAGAGTTTTGTATTTCTTTGAAATTAAATGTCTCTCCAGAAAAAGTTTCAAAACTTCTTTATATACATGCAGTTTTCAGGAAAAATGAAATTATTGCTTGTCATGCTTTCTTCCTTCGTTATCATAGCTTAGGTGACTGAAAATAGGATAAGCTGTGCAGGGTAGTTTCGCCCAATACTACAAGATGCTACCAAACCGAAATATTAAACTAAGAACTCTAGTCATGTTCTTAAATACCTTTATACTTCCATATACCAACCAAATCTTGTAGAGGTTTTTTTTCCACATCAAAAGCCTCAATGGATATACGCCTTTCTTTATATACTTCTAACGTCTCTTCCTAAATACTGAAATTTTATTTACTATTTACGTTTCCTTGATAGGAGTAGATAGGTTTGCCTATCATCTTATTGACACCCCTCTTATCTTTTGAACAGGAGTAGAGCTTTATCTATTGTTTCTGGTTCAATCTAAAATCTACTTCAACTCTATACTTCTAACATCTTCACCTAAACTCTTACTATCTATTTATTTTTTCCTCAACAAGAGTCGATAAGTTCCTTTATTGTTCGGTTCACACTTCTCTTCAGTCTTTTGAATAGGCGTAGAAGTTTATCCTTTTTTTTCTTGTTCAGAATTGGGTTTCCAGTTCCTTCTAAAGTCTCCATTTTCTTTCACTTTCAGTAGCCTCTTGCATCTTTGTAGCATCATCGCCTTGTTTGGAATGAATTAATTAAAAAAAATAACTATTCTCCTTAACTTTGAGAAAACTTACTAGTATATCCAAAATTTTTGGGATGTTCAAATCACGGTATATTTGCTGTAATACATTTTTGACCAACCTGTTCTTTAACCATCATCAGGCATAATCCATGAGACAAGGCGGAAAGTCTTAGCTCAAGAAAATCAACAGGCAACAAAGTGTTCATTAATGCACTCACTGGACTAATTTTCAGTGTCAGTTAAACCAAGAGTCCAGGTGATTGCAAGTTACACCAGGGGTGTGGGAAACTGCAAAACACTAACTTTGCTAAGCAAAGAAATTCACAGCGTTAAAATCCCTGACTCATCACCTAATCAACAGGCTGATACATACTGCCTCTATTGGCTTCTTCACTCCCTGATAATTCTCTATCAATGAGCTGGAATATTTCAGAGAGGATAATGTCTCCCCCTCCTGCTTCTAGATGTGATCCAACACACCTGAATTTAACAGCAGAAAATATGCAAACAGTGGAGTTAAATGCCTAGACAAGGCACAATATGCAAACAAGAAAGCTGAGCAACTATTTATATTTTTTGAATTGAGTTCACCTCTTGAAGGCAGTAAAGCCACCGAGACACAAGAGGTTATTAGATGTGAAAGAGAAAGAGAAACATTGCTAAGGAGCAAGAACAGGAAGAAGAGGAGTCAGGAAGACAGCAGATAGCAATTGACATTACATTTATATTTTTGAAGATTAAAGTTGGCTGGAAAGCATGAAGCCAGAAGAGAGTTCAACAAGTGAGAAATGCAAGATAAAAAAAAAAAAACAAACACTTATCACAGAACTTTCAGTTACATCTAGCCAACTCAACTGTAAAATGATGAGACCTTGTTGCCAATCTAGTACTGCGCTTAAATTCAAAGAGTCTAGGCAACCATAGTGAAGAGCTCATCCAAACAATTACCATGAAAGTATTTATGGAAAGGGCACAGGGAGGCAATCTTACAGTGGTGGGAAAAAGACTGAAACAGAGATGCCAGAATAGGGCCAATAATATTGCTGATTCTTTGGATTTTATTAAGGAGCTCTTGATAAATAGCAAGAGCACAGGACCATATATGGCAATAATATTCTGAGCATGGACAAATAGTAGACATAGATATGTAAGATAAATTTTGGAGAGAAAAATCATCTCACAAGACACGGTGAACCAATTTTCTTAGCAGCTGACCTAGCAATGGATTTAATAGTCTGACAGCTGAGAACGTTAGCCCAAGAAGGTGCAATGAGCCACTCTCCTTGGGGTCAGCAGCAGCCATGTTGATGGAAGGCAGAGAAGGGTCTCTCAGATAAGCATTTTGTTTTGAAAGCATTAAAGTTAACAAGCCATCCATTGCCCGATTTAACAACAGACTGAAGCTCGTTTGGATATCTGCTGCCATTTCCACCTTATCAAACTGATCAGACTTACTATCGAGGCATGAGTAAATGGTTGCAGATTAAAGCTGGCTGGAAAAGCAGGAAACTGAAAAGAGTTCCACAAGACAGAAGTGCAAGAAAAGAAACTGTTAGCATAGAACTTAGTTTCATCTAGCTAATTCAACTGGAAATTGATAAGACCTTGTTGCCAGTCTGTGAGTCAAGGCACTATAGCAAAGACCGAAGTAAATTGTTGTTTGATTGGTTTACTTTATAGTATATCAACCTCAAAGGGTTATTTAATGCCAACAAAAGATTTATTTTTTTGTTTGGTTTGTTTAAAAGTAAATAATGGGTTATTTCATGCCAACAAGGTTTTTATTGCTGGTAATATTTTTTCCAAAATTGTATTGCTGGTAATATTTTGTTTGTAATAATTTTCCTTCAAAAATGTATTGTTGGATAAAAATTTTTTTCCAAAAATGTATTTCTAGTAATAATTTTTCCCTAAAAAATGTATTGCTATTAATAACTTTTCCTTCAAAAATGCATTGCATATTAAAACCTATTTTTACACCTCCACAGCAGTTTGACTCCAGTTTCGGGGGTCATTTGTTTACCCATAGCTGGGACCCTAACAGGTGCTACCATTCCAGATCAGGGTAGACCTGGAAATGCCAGCAATTAAGAGATGGTTCCACACTCAAAGCCTTCTGATCAGAAGGCCTTGCTGTTGGATGTAGTTTATCATCTTACCCAGGATACCCACAAAACAAACTGTTAGCATAGAGCTTATGGTTGATTGGTTTTGTCAACTATTTGCTCATAGATGGGACCATAACAGTTTAGGGTAGATCTGGGAACACCAGCAATCAAGAGGCAGTTCCATGCTCCTCAAAACCTACCGATCAAAGGCCTTGCTGTCGGATGTAATTTAATGTCTTATCCAGGATGTGGACATAGTTTAACTTCATACCCAGGAGGCAGATGTACTTTATCGTCATACCCAGGATGGTTAAATGGTTGTGTCATCAGTGTAGATACCAAGTTGAGAGCAAATGCTGTTGGGAAGGTCATCAATGAAAAATAAAAACAAAGTAGAATCAAGGATAGAGACCTGGGAGACACTTGTGTTAGTACGAAATCAACTGGACAAATATGAATATAAAGCTTTCAGATTGCTATTGTTAAAACCTTTTGAGTGCCAATATTATGTTTTGTAGCTGGTAGGTTTGGCTTCAGTCTTAACATTTATTGTTTACAAGTTAGAGATGTTTAATTTCCCAAACAAAACAAGAGATTGTGTGACACAAAGACTTAACATTCCACTTCTGAAGAATTCCACAAATGTTCTTAAAGAAAAGATTTTCTCTTTGGCAAATATTAACAATGAACAAATATTTGTGAAACTTACAAAAGAAACACAAAGGACAACAGAATAGCACATTGTAATAATAGGCACTGTGTGGAATGTATTTGGTCTATTTTTTTCTGAAAAAGGCATTTTGAAGTCACAATTTCAAATGTAGAATCCCAGCCTACACTTAGAAGCAACTTCAAAACATTTGTTTTTTCAGAACTTTCTAAAGGCTTTTAAGAATAAGGTTAGTTCTTTGAAGAGCTCTAATTTAAAAACTGCCACAATAATGTTCTTTTGTCTGTTAGCAAAATTAATGTCCAGAGTAAAGGGAAACAAGAAGAAAGGACTAAATATTATCTATAAGACGACAGATTTCAGAGTTGTCAACAAGAGATGAAAAGTGTCTGGGAAGTGTTTTAACTGATAACAGATAATGTGACACCAAAACCCGGTTCTGATGAGCTTTCCTCTTTCGTACCTCAACTTGATGAATTTAAGCAAAGAAATCGATTGGCAGGTCAGTCTTGCAATTTCATTGTTCAAACTGCTACATGTAAATGAAAGTTCTATTCTAACCGTTTCTTCAATTCTCACCCGGCGTTATGCTGGGGGT